AGAATAACCTCCGTTTGGAGATCATTCATTCCTACTTTTGAGGGGAAATAATTAACCACAAATCTTTTTCATCCAATCTGTAATTGTTCTGTCCAAGTGTAGTACACATTTCCCTAGCTGTTTTTTTTTTGTCTGCAGTCATTCTTCATCATACGCAAAGACGAGTATAAAAATTAGCTGTAAATCCATTACTCTGACATTCCGTCTTAATATACTGTATATTCCTTATTTTACGCAAGTACTTTTAAATATATTACGCAAGTACTTTTGAATATATCGCGAAAAGACTCGTAAATGCCAAATTACGAGTGCATAAATTCGCGCATTGACGGTTCATCAAGAGTTTCTACATGTATGTATTTCAGTAAAATAATATCTTATTTCGCGAGTTTTGTTTCTCGCAAATTCCTCATGTATATTTAGGATTATACAGTAGACTGTATGAGGGTTGTCTCAGAAAATCCGAGCTTTTAAAATATTTCATAAACTACTTGACCAAAATTATTCATTTTTTCTTAATGTTGGAAAATTATTTTTGTTATTTTGACATAGTATTTTAAGGTTGTAATGCAGGCGCGTAGCTGCCTATACGCAAATACGCAAGTGCGTACACATCATTTTCAGGAAAAAAAAAAGAAAGAAAGAGAGAATTAATCGGAGAAAAAAAATCTCAGTACCATTCAACAAATATTCGTGTTTCAAATTATTCTGTGTCATACTGTGTCGATTTAAATTTTATATTATTATGGCTGTATAATAAAATTTGAAATCTTTTATTTAATAACTGCCAAATCCAAATAAATCATTCATTATTTTGTCATTGTTCTATCATAGATTGATATTTTTTTTTTTTAAAGATCTTTGAAAACTTAAATTTCAGCCACATCGTTGAATGCTATGATCTACTAGTGTGATTTACGATATTTTTTTGTTCATAGTTGAAATTTTGTATACGTGTTTTTAACATTGAAAATTATATGATACCAGTTAATATATATCGGTTAAATTTTTAGCCTCAATTATATGTACAATAAGTTTCCATGGAATATTAATTTTCCTTAAAACAATAAATATTACTATGTCTTTTATTTGCTAAACAAAAACTGAAAATGAATGAAATATTTGGTAAAACTCCGGAGCTTCTGGGCCCTCACCAGCAGGCACGTAGTATCAGCCCCCCCCCCCCCTTCCCATTCACAACTTATTCCCAAAACCTAACCTTTTACTATTGAAAATGTACATTGAGATAAATCATGGTAATTTATTGGTCCCCTACCGGTGAAACCGGAGGGGACTATAGGTTTCCTCTGAGTCTGTCCGTCCGTCTGTCTGTCCGTCAGTCTGTCTGTCTGTGCGTCTGTCTGTCTGTCAGTCTGTCCCACTTGGTTTTCCGCACTTTTTTCCTAAACGCTTGCAGATATTGAGCTGATTTTTGGTATGTGAGTGTATCTTGATGAGTTACGGATCAAGTTTGCATTTCGTTCCGCTTCATTGATTTTTGACGGAATTACGGCCTTTTCAATTTTTAGGGGTTTTCCGCAATTTTCTTCTAAACGCTTTCAGATATTGAGCTGATTTTTGGTATGTGACTTTACCTTGATTAGTTATAGATCAAGTCTGCATCTCGCCCCGCTTCATTGATTTTTGAAGGAATTATGGCATTTTCAATTCTTAACGGGAACCAGATTACACTTGCCGGTAGGGGACTAGTATTGCTAATGCAATACTTTCAGAATGCTTGTTAATAAAAAATTTGGTTTGTGAAAGTTGGACACCCCCCCCCCCTCCACAAACACACACCCACACACAAGAAATAGGACTTTTTAACAATCTTCCTTTTTCGTCCTTGCTTGCCAAAATTTTTAAAGTTGTAATTTTTTCCTGGCTGGCAAAAACTTTATAACATGCCTGACCAGAGCCCTTGAACACTGTTGGGGGGGGGGGGGGGGTCAAGACCCCCCACCCAATCCCCTGCCGTTCTCTGCGTACACATCATTTCAATTCTGGCTACGCGCCTGTAATGTCATATGCATGTGGAAACGACGCTTTATTCTGGTGGTCGGCGCAATGCATTTTTTTCAAATAGCATTATCACCGATTTTTTGTTTATCACCAGAGCATATAGAAATTTAATGTGACAAAGGACAAGATAGACTAAGACCCCTTTTTGGCCCCTGGTTTGGGATGTCTTTTAGAATGATGCCACAGTTTTTCAATAAAAACCTGTTGTCACCCCTATCACAAAATGAGTAAGTTATGAGATACACAGAGGTCACAGGAAGGTCAGAAAAAAATGTCAATTTCCGAATTTTCTCATTTTTATGCAAATTTTCATCGATTTTACAGCACATTTTGTGTCAGAAAACATAGAGCACAAGCTTGCCTATCTATCAAATTCATATATTTTATTAACTAGTATCAGATGCAATCTTGTGTAAAAAAAAAATCTCAGGCAAACTTGTGCTCTACATGTATGTTTCTAAGTGAAAAGTATCTCAAATTTGACGAAATTCCACCACTATTTAGGATATTCGGGAAAATGTCCTACTTCTGCACCCTCTTGTGGCCTATGTATAAGCTTTGAATCAAAATTAGTGCTGGTTTTAAAACAAGCATCATTTTAAGTTCTTAACTACAAACTATCACAATTTTAACTGTGTTCTGATTTTTACATCAAGCAAGGAGCCATAAATTGTCCTTTACATTGATACAAACTCTATGATCTTGGGTACTAGGGTAGGGTGGTGTAATTTCGACCGATTTTTTTTTTTTTTGGGGGGGGGGGGCGGGGTACTTTTGTTCAAGTATGTCAATGTCTGTTACGCTACAGCTTTAACAGGGTAATTTTTCCTTAGGAATACTTTTTATTTTTCAAATTACATGGGTTTTAATTATAATTATGTATTCATCATGATATAAAATAAATAAATGCGTTCGATTTACAAGATTTGTGTTGGGTAACATCGACCAAGCAACGGGGTAATTTCGACCGATGCGCCAAATTACGTCTCTAATATAATCAAATTATTCTGTTGCAAAGCTTAAAGGATTGATGTAAAAATACTAACAAAAAAAAGACGGTAATCTTCTATCGAGGCTGATTTACTGATTTGTCAAGGCATGCTACAAAATGTACATGTGCATGCACACACAGCATTCAAACAGCATATAAATCGATTTAGCAGATGATTTTTTTTACTGATGTAGAACTAATTTCTACTGAGTATACATCTACATAATACTTAAACTTTTTTTCATATGGTCATGAATTCTTTCTAGTAAAAGTCGTATTGCTGCAGATTGTACTGCATAATTTTTCATTAGTCGAAGTTACCCACTGACGCCGTATACTACGGCCGATCTCTGTTCAAATTTGCATTTTAATTTGTAAAAAGTAAAGATTATAAATTAAGTATTTATAAATTTCAGCTGCAAGAACAAATTTGATAAATCCGTCACGCGAGGGATATCTATTGATTATTTTTCTATGCAGATATTGTTAATGGTGATAATATTTCGCAATGGCTTAGAATACTCGTTTTCTTTTTTTGTGTGTGTGTGTACCCGTATCGAAGATTCGGGGATATATAGTTTCTGTCCTATCCGTCCGTCTGGCTGTCTGTTTGTCCGCAAAAACTTTAACATTGCTCATAACTTTTGATTGGTTGGAGCTATAGCTTTCATATTTCACATATATACTCCTTGTGACAAGACCTTTTTTGGGTAACATCATATTTGACCTTGACCTTGGAGATTGACCAAGTGTTACAAAATTTTAACCCAACTTTAACCTTGGCTATAAATTTTGAACAGTTGGTGCTAGGGCTTTCGTACTTTACATGTGTAATCCTTGTGACAAGACCTTCCTTTATATACCAACAAATTTGACCCTTTGACTTTGACCTAGGAGTTTGACCTACTTTTGGAAAAATTAAACCTTGGCCATAGCTTTTGAATGGTTGGTTTGATGGCTTTTATACTTCACATGAGTAATCCTTGTGACAAGACCTTCCTTTGGATACCAACAACTTTGACCCTTTGATCTTGAACTAGGAGTTTGACATACCTTTGAAAAACTTTAACCTTGGCCATAACTTTTGAACGGTTGGTGCTAGGGCTTTCATACTTCACATACAAATGTAATGAAATAAACGAGAGAGAAATTTCGTATTCTATGTGTAGTGTCCTTTCTGACATAGTTTGCAACATGACTATAGAAAGGACAGTAGTTTGCCATCCATGATATTCTCGTGATTATTTCGTGACTTAAATGTTGTTACAAGGCATAAAGACATAAAGCCGACTTTTTATAACTGCTCTTAAACAATAACTCTCGTAATGTTAGAATAAGTAGTACTTTGATCATCAAGTCACATTAAAATGGGGTTCTTTGGGCAAATTAAATTTGCTAGCTCTTTTTTGAAAGCTCTTTTTTGAAACACTTAAGAAAAAAATCTTTAACTGGTTTAAGAGATGTAATTAAAGTTTCCAACTAACAGAACAGTTCGAAACATTTATCAAAGTCACTGCACCCACTGAAAGTCATCAGAAGTAATGACACATAGCAATAAAGTATTTAAAAGTTTTCTGATTTTTAAATATGTGGCAGTAAATGAGAGTAATTCAAAACCTGCTCAATGTTATATTGCTTAGATTAGCGAGGCAGCGAGAGCGGCATCAAAAAAATAACTGGCCTTTTGTACGATCTGTTTGGAGAAATAAAAAAACATAAATGCCCACTAGAATAAATAAGAGGTATTGAACCTATTGAGTGGCTAAATAGCATACAATGTAATGAAGGTAGACGAAAAGTGAACATGTAAAATGTTTAAATAGTTTGGGTCTCCTTCATATCTGAAGATGTATGCGTCTACTCATTTAACACGTTTTAACTCAATGGTTATAAATATTTTTAAGAAAGCTGATGCTCTCTAAGGTCTTGATTTAAATATAAATACGACACCGGATTTAAAAGCAGAACATGCCGATACAAGGAGAGAATGTCTCTCCATCACAGTAAAACTGATGTCGCACAGTGCTCGGCATCTGAATCTCCTGGATCTAAATCGAGGCAGACATTGAATTTTAAAGATGCTCGCAATCGAATGTTTAGGGACACAAATAGCAGAGTAAAAGCATTGATTAAGGTAGGTAGATAGATACAGTCTTCATTGATTAAGGTGGGTAGATAGACACAGTCCTCATTGATTAAGGTATAGGTAGATAGATACAGTCCTAATTGATTAAGGTAGGTAGATACAGTCCTCATTAATTAAGGTAGGTAGATATCATAGATACAGTCCTCGCTGATTCTGTTTATGACATTGTACTCGATATAGTAGATATAACTAGAATGTGTAAAACAAAGCCAAAAAGACAAAATATTCTCAAGAACCCGAAAACATCGATACATTAGGGCAAAATCTACTGATTTATACGTGGATATTTTCACGTGATCTTTTAATAATGTTAATTCGTTAATTCTTTGTTTAAACTAAACCTAGAATATTATTGTAGATTTTCTGTTCTTCACAATAATATGAATAGAAATGAACATTATCGAGTGATGGTCAGATAAATTTCAGAAATGTAAAATATGAAGAAAACATCGTTTTGGCGATTTGAATTCACGCAATTAAAATAAAATCAACAATCAACAGACTCCCCCCCCCCCCCCCCCAAAAAAAAATCATATTTTACCCAGCTTAACTGTCAGATTTTCACATAAGAAGATTTTCTATAAAATTTAAAACACTTTTTTGAGAAAAAAAAAAACTCCATCCATTTGCCATTGATAATAATAATAATATTTGAAATAAAAATATTGACAAAGCAATAAGCACTCACAATCTTTTCGTCGACTTTCAAATGTGCACTTTAAATTTTAGATGAAGTAAATTAAATGTGCTTTACTTTTTTTTCATGTCGAAATAATGACTAAAGATTGATCATTTATAAATTAGATAATTTTAAAAAAAAAAAGAACTTAGAAAACTTAAGGAATATGACGAAATAATGCACTTTTAATTTGTACATAGAATATACAAGGTACATATATTAATGTTTCTCGTAATAATTGAATATGTTGGCCGCGAAAGTACGATAAATAATTGATCAATAGGATCAATTAAGTAATTGCGAAAACCCATTTAAATTTTACAAGCATCTTTCATCTTTGTTGCTGCATTGTATCTTTTTTACATTACGTTTTTATAAATTAAATATATGACTCTACACCAGACTTGAAGCAAATCAACGTAACTTCTAGTTGCACGTTCATGATAAGAATTTCAACTTGTTAGTGTTTTTCCCCTTAAGAGAAAGTTTATAAGCTCTTTCCCAAATTTATTGGAATGTACATATTGAAATATCTTTTGTTCTTTTTACTTTATGAATCTTATTTGAAAGAATAAAATATTGTTTTACAGTGTAAATCTGAAGTCTGATGTTTTTCTTGCAATGCAATGGTTTTGCATGTGTTAAGTAGCTTCATATTTGAAAATTTTTGATTATTTGCATGCGTGTCTTTTAATTTTTCTGGAAAATTTCCCCAATGCAAGTACGAAAAATTAGCTATATAGTAGCTCTATAGTAGCTGTTAAAAAATGTTTGTGGATATATTATTTTATAAAGAATCTATTTAGACGCGACCATTTTACGAAGGTTGTTCAGAAAGTTGGCGGACTTCTCTCGTAACTTTTTAACATAACTTCATATTATATCCAAATTTGGTATAAATAGTTTAACAATAAATTCAAAAGGCGTGTATTAAAAATTAAAAATAAAATATCCTGATTTATTTCAATCTTATTCAGATTCAAAAACCGCGAATATCGGATTGCGGAAAAGGTCAGAATTTAGTAATTTACAAACAATGCACTAAATAATGTATGCAGTTATATCCTATGTAAAATGAAAAAAAAAAAGATTAGGCGTTCAAATTAAGAATCGTTTCATATCCCAAATTATGACTTAACGTTTTGCTTCGTTGAAAAGAAATCAATTTCAGAAGATAGGTGGTCCTCTTTGGAAAAAAAAAAGAACAAGGGCGCCGCAAAGCATTGACAAACGAAATTAGGCACCGCAAAGCATCCCCTCGCTCGATCCTGATATGAATTATTCCTTAAATTTTGTTACGCATCCACTCACTCTCCTCCACACACACACACACACACACACACACACATAGCGCGTTACTATATCCGTTAATTGCGAGGGATAATAAAAATCACGGCGCAGCAGTTAACGATAGTTTTGTGTTGTACTCAGGAAAACTCTGGAGTAAACTCTGAAACTGATGAAGGAATCAGGATATGTGACAAATGCGAGTCTTGCAAGGGTGTTTAAATGGCACAGGCGGTATTTGAAGGATAGAGGTTCTGCATCAGACAAGGGTGATCTGTGAAGAAATGGATTATCTGTAAAAATCAGCTCAAAAACTTCAAAAAGTTAATAAGGTCATGGAAAGAGCTAGGCGTTTCACAGTTGCTTATGCGGTGAAAAAAAATTAAAGCATTGACAGACGAAATTATGCTACTGGAACAATTAGCAAAATAAATTTCAAGCTATCGAGAAATGTTTTTAATGAGTAGGTATTGGGCTATACTGTGTGAAATGTATAGGGAGAGTAATTTTGAGGAACTGTACTTTTTTTACGTTACCATATTGTAAGTGTACTCCGTGGTTACAAAGCATGTTGATTTCAAAATTTAGTCACATGATTTTTATCAAATCACATGGAATGAAACTTCACACATCAACAAAATTAATATTCTTACATGTAATAATGTGCTAATTCTAATTTCTTGAAAATAGTATAACGAAGATTGACATGGTCCGCGAACTTTCTGAACAACCCTCGTATTACTATAGAGAGGCACACTATGACTATTGTAATTTATGAGTTTCAATTTAGTACCCTATAAAGACCTTCAAAATTCTTCTTCTTCTTCGCTTCCTCTGAAATATTTATGCAACTAACCACAATTAAATCCAAAAAGTAATCAATATCTACCATTGCATCAAACGTTTTTTTATTTACAATGTAATTAGTTTTTAAAACACATTGATGTATCGATATATAGGAGTTGTTGAATTTCGTCAAGTCGTGAAAGCATGTTTTAGCTGAATAGAATTATTTCTGGTTTGTAATAAAGCAGCATAATTAGACACAGGGTTCTTAGCAACCAAGATTTAAAACAGGTACGTACACTGTAATTAAAACTGAATTCCGAAAGAGGGAGAAATCGGTGAAACGTGTCGGATATATATGTAGGTGTTTAACGACCAAATTGGAAAGTGCAAATACTACAGAAGGGTAATCAGCCGGTCCCAACAGTGTTAGAAAGAAAATAGCCACAAAAGCTTTTATCAAAACATTTGCTGCCTATTGTGATGATGATTTAATTCCAAAAAAATTTCTTTTTTGTGAAAGTATTTTTTCATTAACGTCTCCGGGGTGAAGCCTTATTATTAACACTTTAAACCCCGCTGATTGCAGACTTATTTGTACAATAACACCCAAGGTCTCCAATGAGCTTCTGGAAATCCTTGTCTGTTTTCTGTTTTCGCTGGATGTCCCTTTAAAACGTATCCAAAACTTATAGACCATATTGTGAAATTACCTAGCATTCATCGAATCAAGTCAGAAGCGTGAGAGATATTGGATTTAAATGCCACGGAGAGTTTATCTATATAATCTTTCTTAATTTTCATAAATTTAAGATAGAATTTTTGGATGTCGACAGATAGAAGAGTTTCTAATTAATAATGATATAAATATATCGGCCATGCCGACTGCTGTGTTTGGAATTAAAGAAAATCGCCGTTTTCATCCATTTTCAATGGTCAAAAACAAAAAGGCAGTGCGTCTGAAAAGTATTTCAGGGATTAAGTTGGAACATGTAAATTCCAGAATATCCTCCTTAATTAAGGTAATGTAGATTCTTTATTAAGTTTGCTAAATTTCTACATACACTTTGTCTGAGAAAAATAGTCTTAATTAGCACACGGGAGAATTAACGAAACAATTTAAAACAAGACTCACTCTCTCTCTCTCTCTCTCTCTCTCTCTCTCTCTCTCTCTGTGAGTTTTTGACATTTTGTTTCTAATCTTTCAAAATTCAGTGTGATTAATTTTAAACGTCCATGTCTTTATTCCCTGAAGTAAGAATTACCTATTATAGTAGAGGTGTTTGACAGCAGTTGAAAAGGTCTTTCATATACATGTGTATGTCTAAAATATTGTGTTCCCTGTGGTGAGGTGGCAGCTAGTGTATTTCAGTTAAGTCATTGAATGGAGATAAAAAGAGAAACTGTTATGTAGAGTAAATGTATATGACTAGTAATTACTTTCTTTTATAAATAATAACCAAAATTTTTAGGGATCCTGTTGTTTCTTAAAAATTCGAGATCATTTTGTTGATATATTTTACAAGTCATTACTGTGATAAGGTATTGTTTTCTTATTTTGATCCATTTTTTGATATTATTAGATTGATACCTCGTCATGTAACGTAAATCAACCTTGAAATCTCACATATTCTTGTAAAGGCAATGTGGGCATCTAACAGACAAAAAAAGGATTAACATCAAAATTCACTCCCACAGTAAACTGTTAAATAGCCAGCGAGCCATTTAAGTTAATGTAGAACTTTCTATAAACTGTAAAGTAAATTTAAAATTTGATTGCCAATACGATCAAATTGGCTGGTGTTGGTTACAGCCCCGCCAGTTAAATAAGAAACTATTCTTCTTAGTGGAGGTAAATGTGTAATTATATGTAATTGATATTATTGACTTTTTCGTAATTCAAAAACGTTTATATCTTAAACGGAAATTTATTGTTAGCAACTCTTGGAAAAAAAAATATATTAACCTTGTATGCTTATGAACCCATATATCAGGTGATTCTAAATTGCAAAAGTACAAACTATTTTCAATAGCAAAATCTGATATTAAAATGTGTACTTTTTTAAAAAATACACTGCATTAGCACAAAAAACTAGTTGTCACAATTGACTAGTATTATAGACCAACTCAAAGTAATAATTTCACACTTGGCGTAATGAATCAGCGTGAATCTTGTGTTGTAATGTCATCACGCAAAATTCCAAAGCCATGTTCGAGCATGAATAATTTATTTAAGCGGACTGAAAAGACTAATAAGCAATCAAGAAACAGTATATATTAGATTTAGATTGCTGTAGCTATTCTTTAATGACTTTCAATTCAAGCCTTCTATTTGATAAAGTAGGGGATTAACAAATCTCTTGCATTAATTTATATATATTCCCTATGATAATTTTCAAATTGATGTCTTGCTGAAGCAGTTCGATCTGACTTTGTTACGATAAATTTTACTTATAGAACATTTAAGATGCAGCCAGCTTTAAGGCAGAAAATAAATAACATAGCCACATTTGACGCCCTTCTTTAATCATTGTTTTACAATCAATATATATAAACAGTCTACTTCATTTTAAAGTGCAAGACTGTCGTTTTATGATAAGACATTTTTACCAAAATTCCAGCGGTGGCCTATGTTTGGTTTATAATTTACTTGAGTAGATCAATTTCTATCTAGGAATTAGCTTCTAAACAGAAATCAATACACATTTCAAAAGATTCAAATGACACCCCAACTTTATACCTGTCTACATAAAAATTCCATACCTTACGCTTTGTACATATGACTATGTAGTCAAGAAACACTGTGTATATAATTATATATCCGCTAGGTCCAGGGAATTATCTCCGTTGTATTTGTGCAGGATTTATATTATAACATTTGTATACAAAGGTTTTACTGATCCTGTCTGAAATCACATAATTATTTGTGTTTGAATTTTAATATAGTTGAAATATTTCATTCTTCGAAAAAAAAGCTAAAATAAGACTGAATGCTTACATAGATGTAAATCCTGAGATATTTATTTGTTTAATATTCTGGAACTGACAAAATAGATGTCACTTAATATATATTATATATCACATCCTGAAATTTTAATGTGTCCATTCAATAATAGACGAGGCCTTTCTAAATAAGAGTTTAGAATTTCTAGATTTTGTCCGAGAATCACTTATTGTAATACTTATAGACGAATTAAATCTGGACGGAATAGGTAGATCTGTAAGAGATTTCCCTCTGAACCTTTATATTAATTCCATGACATTTAGAATATACTTTTAAAACGAAATATAATGAACCTACTTCAAGCTGATCTATACAGAAAGAGGTTGTTTCTGGTTTTAGTACTTCATCCAATATTTTTGTTGTATTTAAGTACCTGTTGAAATTTATCGTTAAGTGTCTGTAGTAATGACGACAAAACCGTGGATATGTGACAGAGCTATTTGTTTTGATCTTGATAAATCCTTCTCGTGTTCAAGCGATAGATAAAAGACAAAATATACAAATCCTAAAGTTGATTTCAAAACGTTTTCCCGCAAAAAGGGAAAATTTTATTGTAGTGGGTCAAGTGCTCGTCCACCGGTGACAACTGTAAAACTGTAGATCATGTGTGAAATTTGAGTTTTCTAGCTGATTTATGTCAAAATTGTTTGCTTCTTTTCAAGAGTGACCTCATCTAAAAATTTATTAAAGGACTTTTACAGCGTATTGTGTATGTATGTAAATACTAAACCAAGTTGAATGCTTAAAGTACAAAACCATTCTGTTTTCCTTTCATTTCGTAGACCTCAGGGTGGTGGTATAAAATAATATACACACTTTTTTTGTTATGGAAGAATAAAAAACCACTTAAGCAAAATTCAGTGCTCAATATAGGTACAAAAAAGTTTTAGAAACTTTTCTACAGAAAATTCCTATATGTTAATTTCATCTTTCATAACTTTTGATTATATTTCTTTTTCAACCATTGCATATTTTTGGCACCAAAATCAATGGGTGCGAATTAAAATCCAGTTAGTTAATTTGGAACTCATTTTCAATACTTTGTACAAACACCCAATGTACACAAAAAAATCTATGTATACTCCCCCGAGGATCTATGATGGTCAGTTTTTGTTTTGAGAATACAAAAGATGAAAAATTCCTTTTACATCAATATACAGTTCTGTGCGATATTTCTAATTGCTTTAACTGTTATGGATATTTGCTTATCCAATACATACTGATGTATTTGTACACAGAAGTATTGATAAACAGGGAATAAAATTCCAGCATCACGATGAATTATCTATACTCCGTTATATTGCGTTTTTCGAGACATTAAAGAAAATGATCCGAGTCATGAAATTATTTTTCAAAGGAAGAGACTAGTTTTCAATGCTCCAGACGATCTTCTGTCAAATTTGTAATTAGTTTTCAATGTAAGCATGCGAATGGAGATTGAATGTTACTCTGTCCCATGGTCCCAGGGTTGGGCCTGATATGGTCTTGAATACTAATGTAGAGCTACCCTGAATAGACCCCTCTTCTTTCACTACAAAAATTTACTTTACTGTTCGGCATTTCTTTATATATAAGGTAATTAAAATATTTTTAGAACCTATACAAGTATTTATTACGAGAAAAATGACAATGTTTTAATGCAACGTAATGCACCAACAGGCTTAATTTTAAACTTTTGACAGGAATAAATTTGGAATTTTCTTGTATTTTGAAAAGTTATTTCTATTTTCAGGCCGCTGATGATGGAAGAAAACGCTCTAATGCCCTCCCCCCTCTTCCTGCAGAGCGGGAGCCTACATTCCACCGTACCCCCCGGGGATTTGTGTCCCTCCAGAAACCAGAGGAGGTACAAACAAACATACAAATTATGTTTAAAAATCTACTTCATTTTGTCCTCGATGTATATGTACATGTACCTGGCTTATTAAAAATGTTTCCTGTAATTTTCACATCCACGAAAAAAATTTATAGTGGGCAAAAAGAAAACAAACGCACTATGACTTCAAACTAATTTTCATAAAACTGTCCTATTGATAGGCTGGGGAGAGTCATTGGCAAAGAAAATACAAGAAAGTCAGCTTTGAAACGGATCGCAAAGTTGTTACTCACTTGAGGGTAAGAAGATAAATCATTTCTATTTTCATGAGTGATTATTTGTACTTTAAACAAGTTAATTAGATTAGATTTTTATCTTTATTTTTGCTTTATAATTCAGAGGAAGTTGAACAAACGTCTGGATGATAAGTATCACAGCATGGAGTCAGAATCGGACGAGGAAACACAAAAAGAAGGAACGGACACAAAGACAGGCAGAAAAATAGTGAGTATTAATAAATAACAGTGACCAGGAATAAGTATACTCAATCTAATAAAGTACTCTATACTTATCAAAGACAATAGTAAGTACTTATGTCAGCATTTATCAAAGACAGGTAGGCAAATAAAGTATAAATATATATTAGAGTAAAAAATAACAAATGAATTAAAGAACGAGGGCGCTTTTGATTGGCATTCGGCAGGAATCTGGGCGCACTTGAAAAGTGAAAATTTCATCGATCTGTCACATGAAATTTTAGCATTCTTTTGATGTATCGGGTTCCTGTGGAAATGGGAAAGGGAAATATTTTCCAGATATTGTATTTTGATTTGCTAAAAAAAAGAAGTTGAAAATTGGCTCCATGAGTCATTTGGTCTAAAATGTTACATTTTCAAACGCGTTTTTCTTAAAATGTGCTACCTCTGGGTCATCTCTCCATGATTTTGAAACGTTATTTGTGTGCATTTTAATTCAAAGAAACTAACAAACATTTATAAAAAATGGAGAGAAGACCCAGAGACGATAAAAAATGAACTTTTTCCCCAAAAATTCCAATGTGTAAATGCGGTGCTTCATTGTCGCTTTAAAAACCGTAAAGAGTCTGTAGAGTGATAGCTCAGTAGTATGCGTTACTCGTCCAGCGCAATGAAAAAGAAATAGTTTTGGTTCGATCCTCGCATTGAGCGTTATTATTTTTTTTTAATACAAACAACCAATTTTTTGTCAGTTTAATTTTATGTACTGATTTGTTTTCAAATAGTTAAATACTGGTTCTGTTGCACCGAAAACGAAAGCAATTCCTCCAAAGTACTGATACTTTAATATATACATGTACATGTACTTGTAATTGCATTTAAATATACCTTATAGGTGTTTATGTTTATTATTTATGTGAAGTGTTACCAAGTTTCACTGTAGTAATTAATAAGATAAGCGGAATGACATATTAAATTTGACAAAGTATTTCAAACTAAATGTAACATTTCCCCATGTGCTTAACTTTGCAAAGTATGTCCAGCTGTGCTTAGCCGACCAAATCGTAGACATTTAAACTATAAATGTTTCGTACGCCTTATTCCTGCAGATCACACGCCAAACACGCCCATCTTCTTTGTTAACCATGCATATGCCTTTTCAATATCTTGTTCTTGACTCGTAATGAAAACTACATGTCCGGGTGTCTGCTTTCAACTGAATTTTTTCAGGTTGTAAGAGGTCTTGTAAGTCTGCTGGTCTACGTGTTTGCATTTTGAATTTGTACCATAGTACTGAAAATACATTTTATCATATTGCAGAGTGAGAAAGAAGACAAAAATATTTTTACAAAATACTCAGACTTAGGAGAAAAGATACCATACAGCAATTCAAGAAGAAAATCGAAAAATTCTCCACGCAGTCAAGAGAGTAATGGACACACGGAATCTCATGAAGATGTCAAAACCGATGTAGGGTTACCGTCTAAATCAGTATTACCCGATATTAAAGACCAGGGAGAGCCACTCAGTAATAAAGGAGTCGAGGAAAGGACAAATGGACATGTAACGGAAAGTGACGAAAGTGACGAGGAGATAGCAGAATTAACAAAACTGAACGGAAATAAGGAAGAACCGGAAGTATTGGAAAACTTCCGGGAGTTGGAGGTTTCCCCTGTACAGACGCCTGTTGTTTTCAGGCCAATCACAAGACACAAAATCAGAGAGAACTCAGACACCGTGACAGAAATCCTAAAAGGAGGCGTCCATCCACCCTGTATTGCTGAAAGTAAATCCGTTTCTCTTTACGTCTCCTCCGGATTTACGGGTAAGTAGCTACTGTCTGACATGCATAACACTATAGAATCTCGAACTTACAATACAAATTAGTAAAATATTCAAAATTAAATAAGAAATTCAGAATTATCAATTTCTTATATCAGACACAGTTGTAGAGAGAAGCTGCTTAATAGAAAAAGTATACCCGGAATTACATACATACTGTCGCCAGTACGGATTTGAACTGCAGATTTACGATCTTCACTGGGGACTCAAGGACTACAGTACAGATGACCATGGTTTACCAGCATTGTGCCATAAATACCTCCAGAAATGCCAAGCAGCCACTTGTGGGGGTATTGTTTTGGTACGTTTAATTTGTTTTAGTTTGTTTAGTTGTTTATTCTTGGGTAGATTAGTTTATTTATTGTATAAGTGCATTAGGAACAAGAGTCAACATACTTCGATCAAAATTTCAGACTTGATTATTGATTTCAAAAAGTAAAATGTTGTAGGTCTAAAACAATTTGTTCAGAAATATTTTAAATGTGAACTATCAACGGTTGTGTCTCACCCTAATTAAATATGCAGGAATTAATTTGAATGTATATTTTGTAAAACTAGAATACATGTGAAAATTCCAATGTGATAAACAAACTGCACTCTTGCAATTTTTCCACATTCATGTCTAAAACTGTTCTAAATGACTGGTCTTAAAATATTCCTTCACTTATACAGGTACTTCTAGGAGATAAATACGGCCCATATATTCTACCATCCGTGATGCCAGTTGATGAGTTTCAGGCTATATTTGAACATTCTCTGCAGCACCGGAAACAAGAAGTCGATCGTATGAGGAAGCGTATTGCAGAAATTGAGAAAGCTTCAGAGGAACGCGAAAAGAAGAAAGAACAGGGCCACCCAGAGGGCAAAATTATGGAAAATGCTGGAAGGGACCATCTCAAAATTCAGGACTTTAACATAAAGCTGGAGGAACCGAGTGGGAAGGAATCTTTAAATGTGTTTCGGAGCCATGCCGACATGATTAAAAGAGAACAACAGATCATCAAAGCATTGAGGACAAAGGAGGAGGGTATGCCGAGTCCCCATCTCCTCCCACAGTGGTATAAACTAGACGAAAACTGCTCACCGCCGGTTTATAGGCTAAGGAATATAAGGTAATATATTGACACTAGTACTAGAATTCAGCAAAAGTAATGGACTATGATATTCATAAGATACATGTGTGTAGTATCTTATAGTTGAATAAAATAAAAATGCATAGTAATTTACTCGAAATAATGATTAGGTAGTCTCTGACGTTCTGTTAAAGAGTTATAAAAAGAGAACTCTGAAGTCAGTGGTTTATTTTTCTCCATAACTGTACCTTACAGTATATACTAGTATTTGATATTCGTCATATTATTGATATGATCGCTACCACTGTGTTTCAAATATGTACATAAGTTTGCAAACCAGTCGCCAGTGTTTCAGAAGGAACATTGGATAGAATAAAAGGAAAAGCAAATCAAATGTATAAGCATTGTATTGATACATGTATTTCTCTGCAGCTCAGTTATCAAGGAATATAATCGAGGTGACGCACGAACTCGAGAGACAGGACGTTTAATCTGGAATGAAACTGCTCAAAAACTTCGTAAACTCCTGGACGAATTTGCAAATGTAGCCATCAGAGACGAACATTCCAGGAAAAATTATTTCTCATCTCGTAAGTTAACTATTTATTACAGTTGGTTAACTACACCTTACTGTATAAAGATATAAATCTTTGGTCTTTTAACATTATACTTTTCTTGTATATATAGTTCTTGAACAGGAACTTGAACAGTGCCTTATCAATAATGATGACGTCACAGAAGACATTGTTGTCATCAATAGAAATATCACAGATCTACGCAGTAATTTAGGAGACTCAGCAATAGCGGAATACGCAGATTTACATCCTACACAAGAAAAGACCTTGTTAGAACCACAGACATCCTTCATGAGAAAACTAAAAACAGAAATTATAACAGAGAAGGTAGATTTTGGTATTATTGTGTCTTTAAAATCAGGGCTTTTATTTCATTTCAGAACAAGAATCTTCTGTTATGTTCAGCATGGTTTAAAAAAGTATTTTCATGTATCAAGAAACTGACTGAATTATGTATGTGTATAACTAAAGTGCATTGATACTTCGTTATAAAACCATACTAGTATTTTACTCAAGAAATTTGATCTTTCATTTATATCTAGGTGGATAACAACCACATCTTAAATCATGACGTAGACTGGGAGAAGGGAGGTATCCAGCCAATAGTTAACCGTTCCCATCACCTCTACCTTGATAGAATGTCAAAACAGGTCCTGGAAGTTCTCAAGAGAGAGTTCTCCAGGCATATTACCGAAAACATGGAACAGATGGATGCCAAATCTAAACTCTTCCAAGAAATTTCCCAGCATGTCTCGCTGTGTCAAGAAAGGTTTGAAACATTCATTCAGCTAAATTTTATCAAAACGCCAACAAAAAACGGAGTAGAATGGACGCATGCCTTCTATGAGAAGTACTAGTATTTTAGCTTATAATAAACAACTGTCTAGTAACTGACATGTAAGGTCTGAATTAACATTTTATGTGCCTTAAGGTAGAACTTCTTTTTATTACAGAGGACAACATTTCCAAGGTAGGCGGGACCTTTTACAGACAGTGAAATCCTATTTCCGCTCTAAATTTCGACTGCCACTTATTTTACACGGCAAGGCTGGGTGTGGGAAAACAGCTCTTGTGTGTAAAGTTGCCCTGGAAATTCAGAAATGGAGTAAAAGGTAAGTTAATATATTAGTTTGTATAAATTAAGCTGTTGGAAACAGCAACCCAAAATTCTTCTTGATGCTATATTATAAATCCTACTAACTTTCTTACAGATTTAAACCTCACGTGATCATCAGGACTATAGGTCGTACCACAGCCTCTAGAAACGTCCGCACTCTCTTACGAAGTCTGTGTTTGCAGCTTTGCTTTGCATTTGGAGGAAAAACGGAAGAAGTTCCGATGGTAAGTATACCTTAGAAGGCTCATTACAACCACAATTTATTTCATATTTCATTACAGTGCCACTTATTATGTAGATTTCAAATATCAAAAAAAATGATGATTTCGGAGGTATTTTTGTGATTTTTTTCATTTTTTTTTCTGATTTTGGTTAATTGTTTTATTTCAAGCTTCTAATGAATCATTGATAAAGTCAGGGTCTAGTGATGGATATCTTCAGACATGTGAAGAAAATGGCAACCCTTAATAATATTCAATATTAATATTATTAGAAAAAATATTTTTCTGCTCAAAAGCACTATTGTGTTTTAATTTCTTCTTAATAAGCACATAAATAATTTGGAAAATCAGTTATATATATAGACAAGTAATGTATGCTAATGAATAAAAAATGACAAATTGAATGAACATTTTTTTAACGAAATGAAAAAAAAATTGGTATTATAAATCTACTTGCAAGAGTTATCTTTCCTATATGTAATCCCCGAGACAAAAAAAAAAAAACACACTTGTTAACTTTTGAAATACTAGGATTCAGAATAGGGTTAAATTCTAAAATATATTTTTTGAAAACTCAAGAAAAGTACATAAATCAGTAAGCATGCTGTATATTACGCAAATCCATTATATTTTTCTTTTTTTAAACAATACTGTAGATACATACGTACATGCTTTCAACAGCTGTTCAATTGTAGATCTCGATGTGTTCGCTATGACATTGATCATTACTTGTGGTCTGGTTGTCCTTCTCTAATTAAGGTCTCTGCTTAAAAATAATCAACCTTCTTTATGAAGCATGATGAATACGTTACTTTGCTTTCAATGTTAAAGCTGAACACGACTCGTAAATAGGCATATGCCATTTTCAATATTATTGTCACGGGTATCGGCGTGGGAATGGCGACCGTGTTCGTGCTGGTTATCTTGCATTACCTCTGTTTACATTTTATTGCGGTTACGTGTATTTACAAGTGTTTGTTTGTATACTGCACTGACCTGTGCAACTGTTGTAAGTTTTTTTTAGTATCTTTCTCTCCTGCATTAGAATAGGTACAGAGTTATATTTTGTTGCTACCGAGTGCTGTATAGCATACGTCCTTCTACACCGGTGACGATTGATTACACTGAACAGTGACCAAGTCAGCGGCTTTATATAGGGGCCCTTAGATATAGCGAGAATCCAATCGAATATGGCGGACACATTCCTTTTACAAATCGTGTTAAGATTTAATGTGATTTTTAAAATGCGTTTTATTAACTAATTCATTGATTAATAGATGAAACCTGTACAATTCGTCCACACATGAAAACGAACGAAATAATGGAGATAAATTTTACTTATTTATATATTTTGTGTAGTACACCATCAAAAAATGGTACAATGATACTGATAAAATAATGCAAACTCTTTAATAAAGCAGGTTATTAATTGACTTTTTCGATAATTCTAGGAATACAAAGGACTTATGAATGACTTTTCTCAACGAATTGGTCAAGCTTCGGAATCGGATCCTCTGATAATTATTTTAGATGCCGTAGACCAATTAACAGGTATGACAGTAAAGATAATATATTAAAATGATATTCAATGGTTTTTTTACTATTTATCTCATGAGTTGGACAGGTTTTTTTTGACAATTTCACGAGTGCGAAGCACTCTTTTTGAACGGAAGAAAAATCAAGAGTTTTGCCGCACTTCTGATGTTCTTTCACACTGTGACAAAATATTACTTTGATATTCTTTCGCACCGTAACAAAATATCACTTTTATTCAATAAATAAAATACTGTATTTCACTGTTGAAAATGTAATAAACGGTACTACGTAACTTAGTTTTAGTATATCATGATTTTAAGAGTATATTTGAACTGAATCACATGTCAAACTAAATTGAACGCAATCCACTTTTTTCAGCGGAACACGAAGGAAACAAAATGTCATGGCTTCCAAAAGAGCTCCCAGAGAACGTTAAACTGATCATTACAACGAATCCAGAGGAAAAGTTTGAAAGTTACCCAGGCCTTTTGAAGGTGTATGGATCCAACAAAGACATCACAGTGGCAATCCCGAATATGCCAACAGAAGACGCAGAATCAATACTCACATATTGGCTGCAACTTGACAATCATTCTTTAACGTCTTCTCAATATGCCATAGTGATCAGTGCATTCAAGAAATGTGCCTATCCTCTTTATCTCAAACTAGCATTCATGGAAACCAAATCATGGCATTCTTTTACAGAAATCGAAAACTGTAAACTGTCTGAAAATATTACAAAGCTGGCTGCCTTTAAGTTTGGAAAACTTGAGTCAAAACACGGAGAGCCATTGGTAAGGCGCGCTTTAGGATATATTACAGCTTCACGTGAGGGAATTGCATCCACTGAAATGGAAGATATTCTCTCGTTAGACGAGGCAGTAATGGATGATGTCATGGTTAATATTAGACCAGCTAAGCGGCGTTTCCCAAGTGTTCTGTGGATAAGGTTACTCGAGGATTTGTCTGATCTTTTAACCCCCACACTTACCCATGGGGTGATCACCTACGTATGGGCTCATTCTCAATTTTTTCAGGCGGCAGAAGATCGATATCTCCACAATCGTGATAAGGCGCCGTCTTATCATAAAATTATGGCTGAATATTTTCAGGGAATTTGGGCTACAAAACCAAAACCTTATACAGGTAATGAGAAAGGGGTTCTCCGTTATGTCTCGGAACAGCGCCTATACTATGAACCTTGTGAGAGCAATCAAGATGGATCAGAAAGAATTTTTAACATTCGTAAGGTGAATGAATTGCCATATCATTTGCTTAGTTCACAGCAAACATCCTTTTACAAATCAGAGGCCCTCTGCAATTTTGAATGGATTCATTCAAAGCTATGTGGTACCTCGCTACGATCACTAGTCGAAGAATACCAAACTGGTCTCTCAGTGGATCCTACAGATTCAGAGTTGAAGATGATGTCTGACGTTATTCAACTTTCTGCTAAGGCTCTTTCAAAAGACCCACGACAGCTAGCATCACAGATTGTTGGCCGACTTGCTACGATCATTGCTAATGATATCCCAAGAGCTCCAGGCGATCCTCCACGTTATCCCTTTATTCACACTCTTTTAAAGCAAGCACACGAGCCCTCTCTTCCAGCGCTTATTCCATCTATCCGATGTTTGACGGAGCCTGGTGGAATTCTATTCGACCTGCTCTCTGGTCATACAGACCCCATCACAGCTGTTGAAGTTTCCACAGATGGTGGTAAAGCCTTCACAGCTTCAAAAGACAACACAATGAAAATGTGGGATCTGAGAACTGGGAAAGTGATGAAAACTATCAATGACGTGGGTACAAATATCACCAGGATCCGTATTGGATATAATTCCGCCTTTGTAATAACTGTAGAAGACAATGTTGTCCAGGTATGGAACCTCCGCTACTCTGAGTGTGTATTACGTATTGACAAATATCCTGATCCTCCAGTAATAGGAATGGCTGGGGAAGGGAAGTATCTTTGTGCTTTATTTGATGGAAACAATATGTTGAGGACTTGGAATCTGAACAAAGCCGGCCACCCAATGATCAGCGAAGCTCGCACCGAAAATCACAGAGTGTACAAAGACAATTCGGCGCTGATAGCACCGTTTTCATTTGACGAAAGAATCCTGCATGCTTCTAGGGGAGCAAATTGTGCTCTTGTAAACAATGTTCGCAATGGAAAACAAGTTCTCTGCTTGAAGTGTAATGACCAATCTTCAGCAGTGACAAGTTTAGCTACATCGAGGGATTACTTCATTGTAGCCTGTAGACAGCATTATATGCATCTTCATGAAATATATCAACTGGAACTTTTTGATTTGAAGAAGGGAAGATATTTACGTAGTGTTCGTGGATGCATACATGACAAAATAAAAGATCTCTTTTTAAATTATATTGGTTCTCATGCCATTGCTATATGTGCAAGTGAGGAGACAAACACATCAGACATAGCAGTGTGGAATATTGAAACCGAGGATCACAAACATTTGGCACGGCATGCTGGTGCTTCAGTAGTAGGCGGTTGTGCAGACTTCAAGTACTGTTTGACTGCTGGCAGAAATGACAAAACGCTAAACATATGGAATTTGACAAGCAAAATAAATCAGTCGATGCCTAGACTGAAAAAACAATCAGGCGTCTACCAGATTCTGCAGATGACAGAGAACCCACGATATGTGGTTGCCCGACAATTTAACAATGGTCCCGTCAGTGTATGGAATATAGCCAGGGCAAAACAATTGAAAACAGCTGTTCGAATCGAAAGAAGTTTGTCTGATTCCTCGGACATTGTGGTAGTAAGAGATACAAAGGTAGTTGTTTTGACGGATAAAGGCATTGCCAATGCAAAGGACAACGCTCGCCCAGTGTTTCAAACTGTGTTGATATACGATCTTTTGCAGAAAAAATTTGTGAAGAAAATTAAAAAGTGCTTTATTACCCCATGTCCTTCACATGAGTATGTCATGCTGAAAGATGAAATGCTGCTTGGGCTTTCAGAAAATAGATCGCATTTTGTAATTTGGAATCTGAAAACGGGACAGGTTGAATATCGTATCCGTCCAACGTTGAAGGACCTGGAGAAAAAGATTGCTGAAACTGACGTTATGTCACTTGCAAAGGAGCGCTGCCATACTGCCAAAATGACACCTTGGGAACGCCGAGTTGAATCTCAGTCCGCAAAGCAGCGCCGAAGGGATGCAGCGGTAGACATTGAACGACAAAGAGTAGAAGAATTAAAGAAAGAGATCAGCAGTAGTGGCATTGATAAGTATCTTCTTAGCGGAGACCAAAAAATCGCCGTTGCATCTTTCTTTGCCCACTTCATGTGTGTGTTTGATATTGAGAACCACACGCATCTGGCTACACTTGAGAGCGACACGTCAATGCTGTCTCTTTTAGTAGCCTCTCTTACTTACACAGGAAACTATCTTGTCCAAGCTAACTACGACGAAGAACAAAGAACAAGTTATGTGACTTTGTGGGATTGTTTTGAAGGTGTTGTGAAGAAGCGGCTAAAGAATGAAAGCAATGTGATGGCACTTGGTGTGAGTGAAGATGCAAGCAAAGTAATTATTGGAAAGGGCAATAAGGAAATACACATCTGGGAACCGAACAAATCACCATCACTACGAAAAATCCAAGGCATACAAGGATTGGAATTTAATGAATTGAGCAAAATTTTCATTGTTGACAATGACAGGCGTGCTGTTGTGTTTGCCGGAGACATATCTGTTTGGGATATTGAACGCGGGGTGGTACTGGCAGTGTTTTCCCCAGACACAAAAATTACTTGCTGCCATGTTTCCATGGGTGGGCGTGTGATTACGTTTGGTTTACATGACATCCCAGAAATCGTCATTCTGAAACTGATGTCCAGCGGTTTGCCTAGTATTGAGGATGAGGGGCAGGATATGTTTGGAGAAAAACCCGTTGAATCGTCAGAAGATGAAGAGGAGGAGGAAGAGGAGACGTAGATATGCGTACGGTGTAAATTTGAACGTTTTCTGCAGGTTTGATTGACAATAGGTACATGTAGAAACATGAATTCTTAACTAGACTTCATGCCCTTATGTGTCATGTACTTATTTTATTTGTTCTGTTATCAAGCTTAAACATTTGAAAAGCTCAATCGACAAATGCCGTCCAATACAAGCGTATTAATAACAATGTGTATTTATTTCTTTACAATATACGGTGCTGACTGAAATCTCGTGATACTGTCCATTCTATTTATGAGATTTTTTCCCACATACTTGTACATGTATAATTTTTACATTGCTTAGTTCTTACTGTTCATGATAAGCTCTTTCGTATACACTATTTTATTGTGTATTTATTGATTGATATGTTATATTTTCTTTGAAAAATAAATATTTCTAGACATCTCTTTTAGTTTTTGAACTTCAGTTGACAGAATTTCACAGAAATTTCTATTTTTGGTAACCATGGCAACACTTCAACAGATCATAAACCGATATACAGGATTATGAATCGTAATGTAGTCTACTTGTGTGCCAAACAAACGATATCAGCAAAACAAACGCTATTCAAATAAACGCCAAATTTTCTAAAGTTGGGTTTTTAAAAGTTGATACTTAATTACTACTAGATTTCATATTATACCTACATTATGTAATTTGAAAGCAGTAACTTCTAAATGTTAATACCATTACCCTACTTTTTACAAAAGAACTACAGAAAAGAAAGCACAAATTAGATGGAAATTCACTGCAGCATTTTCTTTTTATAGATAAATTGTGATTTTACTGTGAATATGAAGATATCATTTAAGTACAATCTAACAAACATTAATTTGGCGAGATTATAGAATTATGTAACAATTTTGGAATTAGTTTCATGTTGTTGTCAATGTAGCTATATGGAGCTATATTGTCTGAAAAGCGGTGATTTAAATAAAATATTTGTAAGTATTTTGCATTTTGTTAGGATTTATGTTCCCATTTAAATAGACAAAGTGAAGTACATACTGACACTAAATCGAAATGGGGAGCTGGCCATCATAAAACGAAACAAAAGGTGATAATCTTGATTAATAAATGTAGGTACATGTACAAAATCATTCAATTAAAAACAATGTTTTCAGTCTTTATAATTTTTCCTCTCCTATAGTCTCTCCTTCCGAGAGATAGTTGAAATTTACCTTGAAAGATCCTTGCGACTTACTAGTGTTTCACTGAATAACAATGCGGAGATAAGGGCACATGATACAAACAAGAGGCCCAAGGGCCTTAATGGTCACCTGAGTACAATACAACAATTTAGAGGATCCATAAACTGAAAAATGAAGATTTGTTGCCCAAAAGCAAGAAAAATAGTAAGATTAGCATCAACAAAATAATTGGTCTAGTATCTATTCCCCCCCCCCCCCCCCCATTTATCACTATTCCCATGCAGACTATTAACAAAATGTATATTATTTAACCCCGTATTATTACTTCTCACAATGGCCTCTCTTGGCCTTTGAAGAACATTTAAAAAGATAAGTTATTTTTGTCTCATTTTTATTTATCTATTATTTCCAAGTCATTAAAGCTATGAAAGTACTTTTTTTTTATTATAAAATAAATTTTCTTGCATAATTCTCTTATTCTATTAAGCTTTCAAATACATTATTTACATTGATTTATTATAAAAGGTGAATAGCAAAGTGGAATAACTTTGCTCAGCAGAATACAAGTTAATAGAGCCCTGACCAGGACCAGAACACTTGACTAAATGGTCCAGGTGTTCAAAATTCTGGTAAAAATACCCTTTCATATTAAAACTTTTACTCAGTTTGCCTTGAACATCCCCAGAAGCATATTATTAACCAAATAAAGCCCCATCCTTACACCGGAACATCTGACCCATTGGCCACGAACTCACAATTCTGGAAGAAGGACACTTTCTCATCATAACTATACATTTGTTTCTTTACTTTATTATCAGTAGTAGAAAAATATTTTGAAAGAAATTATGCATTTTCACTATAAATTCAATAGAGCTCCCCGCCCAGCCCCTTCACCAGAACCCCTGACCCAGGGGTCATGAATTTCATGATTTTGGAAGAGGCATTCTTCCTTATCATAACCATGCACTTTCTTTGTTTGAAAAATACCCAGGAGCAGAGAAGAAGATTTTGAAAGAATTAATGCCTTTTCCCTATATAATCAATAGAGCCTCGCCCTAACACCAGAACCTCTGACCCAGGGGCCATGAAATTCATAATTTCTGAGGAGGCAGCCATGCTCATCATAACTATGTACTTAGTTTATTTAATATCCAGGAGCAGAGAAGAAGATTTTCAAAGAATAATGCAATATTACTATTTAATCAATAGAGCCCAGACCTAACACCAGAACCCCTGACCCCGGGGCCATGAAATTCACAATTTCTGAAAAGGCAGCCATGCTCACTATAACTATGTTCTTAGTTAGTTTATTTAATACCCAGGAGCAGAGAAAAAGATTTTCAAAGTTTTAATGCAATTCAACTATATAATCAATAGAGCCCTGCCCTATCACCAGAACCCTTGACCCAGGAGCCATGAATATCACAATTTTGGAAGAGGCACTCTTGCATATCATAACTATGTACTAAGTTACTTTATTTAATACCCAGGAGCAGAGAAGAAGATTTCAAAGAATTAATGCATTTTCACTATATAATCAATAGAGCCCCGCCCTAACACCAGAACCCCCGAACCAGGGGCCATGAAATTTACAATTTTGAAAGAGGCACTCTTGTTCATCATAACTATGTACTAAGTTTCTTTATGTAATACCCAGGAGCAGAGGAGACGATTTTCAAAGAATTAATGCATTTTCACTATATAATCAATAGAGCCCCACCCTAGCACCAGAACCCCTGACCCTGGGGCCATGAATTTCACAATTTTGGTAGAGGACTCAATGCTTATTACAATGATGCCAACAGTTTGACTGCTTGATGTCCAGGAGTTAAGAAGAAGATATTTAAAGATTGCATTATTTTTGGTGGTTATAGCCCCACCACTCAGGCCTCAGGGGGGCAGGGACCATGAAATTCATAATTTTTGTTCCCCTTCACGCATAGATGTTATATGCCAAATTTGGTTGAAATTGGTTCAGCGGTTTCAGAGAAGAAGCTACAAATGTTCAAATGTTAACACAAGACGCACGACGACGGACGAGAACGGATAACAATAGGTCAGGTGACCTATAAATGGATGATGGATTGGTATATATTTCTGAACAATTTTAAATTACGTCAGTCACTTTTATATATTTTCTTAATCACAAAAAACGATCTGGGAAATAAAAACAGCTATGTTAATCCTTTTTAGATGTATTTTATTCAAGCAGTAAGCAAGAGGTTTTATGACAAAATAGGCTATAAATGACCTGTAAAAATACAAACTTATTTATATATGTACTTATATACTGTAAGCATATAACATTTGGCAGTGTACTATAAAATCACTTACTTTCGTGGGGTCAAATTTTCGTGTCTTAAGGAAAAAATATTGGTTCGTGGGGTTTTGATTTCGTGGATGAAAAATTGTTGAGTAGTAATATATGTAAACAAGAGGCCCAGGGGCCACATCGCTCACCTGAGCACTATGGCTAGGAAAAAGCAGAAATCAGTTCAGTCTTGAAAGGTTGAAAAGTTTAAATATAAAAGTGGGGGGGGGGGGTTATGAATTGAACAAATTTGAATCTACATTATCTGAGGATGCTTCCATTTAAATATGACCAATCATGGCTTTGCTATTCTTGAGAAGAAGATTTTTAAAGATTTTTCCTATATATTCCTATGTAAAACTTTGATCGCCCATTGTGGCCCCACCCGACCCCGGGGGTCATGATTTGAACAAACTTGAATCTACACTATCTGAGGATGCTTCCATGTAAATATGACCAATCATGGCTTTGTTGTTCTTGAGAAGAAGATTTTTAAAGATTTTTCCTATATATTCCTATGTAAAACTTTGATCGCCCATTGTGGCCCCACCCGACCCGTGGGGGTCATGATTTGAACAAAATTGAATCTACACTATCTGAGGATGCTACCATATAAATATGATCTATCATGGCTTTGCTGTTCTTGAGAAGAAGATTTTTAAAGATTTTTCCTATATATTCCTATGTAAAACTTTGATCGCCCATTGTGGCCCCACCCGACCCGTGGGGGTCATGATTTGAACAAAATTGAATCTACACTATCTGAGGATGCTACCATATAAATATGACCTATCATGGCTTTGCTGTTCTTGAGAAGAAGATTTTTAAAGATTTTTCCTATATATTCCTATGTAAAACTTTGATCGCCCATTGTGGCCCCACCCGACCCGTGGGGGTCATGATTTGAACAAACTTGAATCTACACTACCTGAGGATGCTTCCACATAAGTTTCATATTTTCAAGCGAAGTGGTTCTTGAGAAGAAGATTTTTTAATGATGCCATTAATTTTTCACGAATTCTTAATTATCTCCCCTTGGAAGAAGGCGTGGCCCTTCATTTGAACAAACTTGAATCCCCTTTACCCAAGGATACTTTGTGGCAAGTTTGGTTGAAATTGGCCCAGTGGTTCTGGAGAAGAAGTCGAAAATGTGAAAAGTTTACAGACGGACAGCTAGACGAACAGACGGACTACAGACAAAATGTGATCAGAAAAGCTCACTTGAGCCTTCGGCTCGGGTGAGCTAAAAATGACATATCCTGGTGGACATAAATTCGTGAGTCTCTTCAAAACAACGAAAACAACGAAAATAATCCCCATGAAAATTAGTGCTTTCACAGTATTCTATTTAGCGCCTTTTGGCGATAAGTAGCTAAAGTTCAATCAAGTACATCGCTAAGTACTGTCTTGTATGTTTATTTAAGGAATGAATTGAATTGCTACCCAAGTTATACTGGTATAACCTGGGTTGGGACAGTTTACGCTTTATAAACCGCGAAGCGGTTTATAAAAAAGCGTAAACTGTTCCAACCCAGATTATACCAGGATAACTTGGCTAGCTATCAAATCCATTCCTTATAATTTAATTTACCACCATTAAGTGTAGAAAATAAGACAATTTCTCCTTCAAAAATGACTTCAAATTGAACATTTTCAAAAGTATAGTCAAGCGGATTGATACATTTCTGATGCAAGTCATTGTGACGTAGGCAACACAGGTTATACGATATAAACTAATTTTTTATCCAACCAAATGAAGCGTTACGACCAAAATCAAATTATATATATATATATATATATATATATATATATATATATATATATATATATATATATATATATATATATATATATATATATATATAT